ATCAAAGCTTCTTGGCAATATGAGTGATCTTAATCAACCCCGATATCTCTATGACAGTCTTTATGAGTGTCAAAAACTGGACTTGAACATAATGTATTCCTGGTGTTGGGTTGCGGCTGGAAAGGCATTCGCAGTGTAAAACAAATGCTGGATAAGTTGGCGGTTCATTCCGTTGTGGCAACCCCTGATTAATAAAGGGACTAAGGGAATGAACATTATGTAAAAATGGCTTGCCGTATTTTTTTGAAAATACAATGCTTAATAAGTGTGAAACTGATAAATGCAAAAATGGCTTGCCATATCAGTAAAAAAATATGGAGTTTAAGTCAAAAATGGCTTGCCATATTTTAAGAAAAATAATGCTTAAAAATTATTTATTGGAAAACTATAAGTCTGATAAACCTTAAAGATATTGCAGCAAAATCTAACGCATCTAAATACAGATTTTGGCTACATTTGGGGCTTGTATATTTTTTTTTATATGCCCGGATTATAAAAATTTAATATTTAACATTTTTTATTAAAAAAACAATAAGTCGTATTGGCATGAGGAGATATAGCAACAATCTTGAATGAAGAAGGCACATTTTGACCACATTTGGGCCTTGTGGCATGAACGGCCTAGGAGAAGATACGTTTGTTTTCAAGGACAAAGTAGCATAACAGTATGTTGGCTTTCTAAAGCCAACATAATAAAAGAAAAAAAAAACATTTAACTTTTTGACTCGAACGATTACACTTATGTGATCAGCACCGGCTGTTCCCTGAAGCGTACGATCACATCAGTGTGCTTAGAATGTTTACTTTAGTTCATTGCATTATCAGATGCTAAAAATCAACCCGCTTTGCCACAGAGCCAGAGACAGAGGTACTGCAGCGCTTGCGGAGCAGATACGTGCTTTTGCAGACCAGTGCTGTTGTGTTGGAATTTCGGTTACTGTATGCTGCATCATTGGTACAATAATTATCACAAATGTGTTTTAAACAATGTGTGTTCATAGTTGTGTAAAATAATGCGTGTTTTCAATATAAGTTATTTGTTTTGTAAAGCAGCCTGGCTTTCTATTAATTTGTTACCTTAGATTTAGGCTAATTTATCTGGATGTGATTTAAATGTTGCAGAATAGCCTGTATTTATGAGGTCCAATTTTGCTAATACTATTTGCTAATACTTTAGATTTAAGTCCAACAGTATTTAAGTACAATATTTTTATTTTTACTTTAAGAACAGTAGCCTACTATTTTTATTGAACTTTTAAAAGCACATTTTAAACACTGACTTTTTATTGATTTATTTATTTTTCACCTATAAACACTGAACAGTTTTAATGGTCAAAATATTTATAATGGTTAAAGTGGCTTTAATAGGAATTAATCTGTCACATCAATATGGTGGTACTTGGAGAGACAGTTTTTTTCTGAGGTGGTACTTGATGAAAAAAGTTTGAGAACCACTGCTATAGTGCATTTTTGCACAACAGTTAATGCATTTCTCAAAACACTTAGTACAAACTGCAAAACCCAGATGATAACCTGCAAAAGCGCGTCACATGCTCAAAATGGAGAGTTCATTCCTCAAAAGCAAGTATTCAGGTCAATTAAAGTGTCAGTATCATCAAAATGAAAAGTCCTGGCACTATTGTTTATGAACAAGATAGTCAAATGGCTTTGTCATGTTTTCATTATGAGTTTACTCTCTACATTTTTTTCAATGCAAAAAAGTCTGATTTTGGTGACACGTCCTAAAAATGCTCAAGACAGCACTTTATATTTGCACAGCCATTTAAAAACTACAGTAAAGTTAGACATCACTGCATTTAGTGGGGTATCTGAGTACAAGACACTGAATATGTATGTTTCACATGTTTACTGCATCGGCCCTTTGCAATCCTAATTTAATCATTGTGCAAAAGAATAAACACACCCTTATTTACAACAAACATAAACTCCCTTTGGGTAGAGCTGAGCACAACTGTAAACAATATTGCAGAACATATTGGAACTGAACCAACATACATACACAGGTCTGTAAATCATTCATCAAATTGTTGAATTTTTAAGACATTTTCAGAAAAAAAAGATTTAAAGATTTTTATAAAAATTGCTCGACAGATTTTGACAACTAGTTCAACATTTGTGTATGTAAAGACTCGAGTACTGAAATGAGGTCAATTAGCTTTATATGGAATCACTAATCAGCATTTACAAGTTCAGTTAATTTTGACTCATATGACATAATAATGCTATACACAGCAGAGAGTTGTATGAAACCAATTGATGCATGTAAAAAAGCATCTGCAATTCGTTGGAATGAATGAGAAACTGCTATTATGATGTGCACAAATGACTAATTGTTTCGAGAAATGCATGAACTGTGGTGCACATGTAAATAGTGTTGTGAGAAATGCACCAAAGCCATTGAGAAAAACTGTAATTGATAGATGTGTATTTTCTTCTCTGGCCACTAGATGTCACAATATCCACATTAGAGATGGTTTTGCTTTCAGCTGATGAACAGTTCATAACCATCACAGGGTTTCTGCAGGTTTCACCAAGTTAAAGACATTTTTAAGACCATTGTGAATGACAATTTAGACTCATAAAGGCTGAAGGAATTTTTCAAATAGCCCAGATGGAAAAGATTTTGTATTTGCCCTATCAAAAAACTCATTATAATTTAATACATTTAATAATTTAATAATGCATGACTAATACCAAAACAAATGTAGATATTTCTTAGCAAGATATTTTAAATATTATGTAAAATCCACCAAGCTCTTCTTGTATCCATACAGTAGTTTTTTGCAACATAAACTTTCTTTAAAATAAAAATAAAAAAGTAAAAATGTTTTAAAAGTTTTTAAAAAGTATAATAATACAAATCTGTGCACACTAATCTGTCGGTGTCCTCAGCAATAAATACATGGATCACTTTTAAACAAATGCTGTTGTAAGGGAAATAATTAAACACTAATGATACAGTTAAAAATCACCTTTATGAATAAAATTTTATGAGATGGATTGTTGATGATCGTATGGGTTTTGGCCAGATTGGAATCAACAAAGAAATGTTATAACTTGTTTAAAAATAGATTTAAGACCCACAATACAATATTTCAGTAAATGTAAGACTTTTTATGGCCTAAAATGTAGATGTTAGGATTTAAAACATTTTAAGATACTATGGAAACCCTGCATCATTTCTGATGTGGTTTATGGAGGAAGCAAGTGTACAGTGATGCTCTCCATAAGTCAGTATTGTAAGAATGTAAATTGGAGAGACCAACACTCCGTCCATTGATAGATAGATTACTATAATATAGGAGCGGCTCTTAAAGAGCTGATCAGGGTCACATTGGCTGTGAAATGAGTTGATAAATGTGTATTTTCTTCTCTGGCCACTAGATGTCACAATATCCACATTAGAGATGGTTTTGCTTTCAGCTGATGAACAGTTCATAAACATCACAGGGTTTCTGCAGGTTTCACCAAGTTAAAGACATTTTTAAGACCATTGTGAATGACAATTTAGACTCATAAAGGCTGAAGGAATTCTTCAAATAGCCCAGATGGAAAAGATTTTGTATTTGCCCTATCAAAAAACTCATTATAATTTAATACATTTAATAATTTAATAATGCATGACTAATACCAAAACAAATGTAGATATTTCTTAGCAAGATATTTTAAATAGATATAGATATTTTATAATATTTGAGCCCAAAAATTTGGATTTTTTGGAAGACATTAAGACTTTTCAGGACCCCAGGAAACCCTACATTATTTCTGATGTGGTTTATGGAGGAAGCAAATGTTTACTCAAATAAACTTTCTACAAGATATAGGCTAAAATTTTCCCCCATACTCTCTCTCTCTTTATCTATCTATCTATCTATCTATCTATCTATCTATCTATCTATCTATCTATCTATCTATCTATCTATCTATCTATCTATCTGTCTGTCTGTCTGTCTGTCTGTCTGTCTGTCTGTCTGTCTGTCTGTCTGTCTGTCTATCTATCTATCTATCTATCTATCTATCTGTCTATATGAATATATATGTATGCATTATTGAAATAGATCATTAAAAAGACAATAAACATCCTTAAACAATGCAAGTGCATTTTCATCTGACACTCATACATTGGTATTTGTTTACAGCAGATTAAACGTTCTGGGATACTGTAATAACACATCCTACTATTGAAATACTTTCCTCCTTTCTTAGTAGTTAATTTTCCCTGAAATACATTGAGGAACAAACAAATACTGTGAGCAATATTAATAAAGATTTCACCTAAAAACAACATAAGCTGGCTATTATTAAATATAAATTTAATTTAAAGGTTGTTTCTGTTTTTGTTTGCACACATTTAATTCTATATTGACAAACTTGTTTTGGCTCCTGATCATTATGTACAGAATTGCATATTATAAATATAGCATTAGTCTTATTTATATACTTACTTAACATAATGCATTAACTTGCAGTTTCATCAGTATCCACAATACTCATGGGAAATTATGTTTGGCATTAAAAAGATAGTAGCAAAACCCACAAATAATTTATACTAAATAACACTATGAAAAATACAGCATTGTTGATTAGCTTACCATACAAATTCACACTGTATAGACAGATATATAAACAGATAGACAGATAGACAGATAGATAGATAGATAGATAGATAGATAGATAGATAGATAGATAGATAGATAGATAGATAGACAGATAGATAGATAGATAGATAGATAGATAGATAGATAGATAGATAGATAGATAGATAGATAGATAGATAGATAGATAGATAGATAGATAGATAGATAGATAGATAGATATATAGATAGACAGACAGACACCAGCGATGTATGGGAGACAGGTGTGTACAGTGATGCTCTCCCTGTAAGTATTACAGCAATAATGGGAGGGACCAACAGACTCCATCCAGTCCATTGATAGATATATTACTATATAAGAGCCGATCAGACTCTCAAAGGGTCACATTTGGTCCAGTCACACACAGGACAATCACAATGCGGTGTCTGCTTTCAGCTTATCTTCTGCCTCTGATTCTGCATGCATGCACCGGTGCAGGTGAGTCCAGCACACTGATCATGATGCTGCAAAACATGTGACATCAGTTCTTATCTTTAAACTTAAATGTACAAATCTAAAGTTTGTGCAGTTATCAGTTGATAAAAATAATAATGATGATAATCAGAATACGTCATTTAATTTATTAAGCGTCATTAATAGGCTATACGCAATGTTTATTAAAGCTAATCCCTAATTGTGCGAAATTAGTGATGTCAACGGAGATTTACATTCATTAGCAAACTGTTCTAATGCTGTTTTAGTATATGTATTTTTGTATTTATAATAACACCAGTCATTTCAGCAAAATAATTAATAAATACATTATTTTTGTGAACAGATTTGTTTTTGATTCATGTTTATTTACTTATTTATTTATTTAATTATTTATTATTGAGTTTTGACTGTCTCCACATCTGAAATAGACTAGCTAACAATAACAACAACATTATTATACCTAACATTTACATGCATACATTTATCAGACGCTTTTAAATCCGGAGCGACTTTACAAATGAGGTTTTTCAGCATATATAAAGTGGATGAAGATGATGATTATTAAAATAATTTATCATCTGTTAAGTCTTTCAGTCTCTACAACGCTGAAAGTGCACGCGCTCTTACCTATAGGCAGGCTGTCGGATGGTTATTAATCTTATAAATTTAGAAGAACCTTCCCTGTCATCTGAAGTCCGTAAGGGAAAATCATAAATCCTGAGGAAAGCCTGGTTATTTTTTCTGGAAGGAGCATCAAGGACACCGGCTTTCTGCTCCGCTTTCTAATGTAGGACGAGCTCCAAAAAATGACGCCGTCGTGTGGAGCTCTGATGTCCGCATCACTCATGAGCTGCACCTGCCAGAAACGGAGCGTTTCCGAGGAGGCTTCGCTGGTTTAGGAGTATTTCTGTAGACAGGCTGTAAGCGCGTGATCTGCTGAGGTCCATCATCTGCCGCGCGAATGCTTGCACAGTAAGCCAAAGGTCACTGAAGTTCTTTAAAGGCTATTTTATTGAGTGTGATACTTGTAAAAATGATCAAAGCGCTAATTTTAAAAGATCACTCGTAGTATTTTTGTTGTTGTTGTTGTTGTTGTTAGGTGAGCGTCACATTTGATAATTAATTACATTATGATTACTCTTACACTGGCAATCTAAATAGTTGTTTTTGATCGTATGGTATTGTAAATGAACAACAAAAGCTGTGATTTTTAGGTCACTAAAATTCTATAAACTAAAAAAAATTGTTAATTTTGTTTTGTAATGTTAACGCAATTATTGTGTGTGATATTTGTAAAATGAGCAAAGTGCAAATTTCAAAGATCATGAGTAGGATTGTTTTGTCTCGTTGCTATGGTTACTGTCAATCAAAGAAGAACGCGATTTTTTTTTTTCGCGAGCGTCACGTTTGATAATACTATTACATTATTGCTATTCTTGACATGGGCAATCCAAATGTTTGTTTTTGAATGTGCAATATTTGTAAAATTAACAAAGAGCGGATTTCAAAAAGGTTTGCAAAGTCTTGTTATGTTACTGTCAATTAATTAGGAACAAGATTTTTTTTGTTTGTGAGCGTCACAATTGATTATACAATTACATTAATATTATTCTTTTGTTGACATTGGCAATCTAAATAGTTGTTTTTAAACGCGTGTAATATTTGTAAATACAACAAAGCGGTGATTTCAGGTCACTAAAGCTCTAAAGGCTAATCAAAATGCAATTTTTGTGTGTGCGATATCCGTAAAATAAACAAAGCGTTGATTTCGAAAATCACGTGTAGTAGAGAAGTCTTGTTGCTATGGTTACTGTCAATTAAATGGGAACATGATTTTTTTTTCGTAAGTGACGTTTAATAATACTATTACATTATTAATATTATTTTGTTGACATTGGCAATCTTAATTGTTTTTGAGCGTGTAATATTTGTAAATGAACAACAAAACGGTGAGTTCAGGTCACTAAAGTTCTGAATACTAATCAAAATGCAATTTTTGTGTGTGATATTTGTAAAATGAACAAAGCGTTGATTTCGAAAATCATGTGTAGTAGGTTAGAGAAGTCTTGTTGCTGTGGTTACTGTCAATTAAATAGGAATGCGATTTTTTTTCCACATGTGTCAATTTTAATAATACTATTTAATGCAATCTCACGACAATTCGTAACTTTATGATTTAGTGGCTAATTCGTATCTAATTCATACAATTTAGTACAATTTGCTCATCACCCAATGACGTTTGAGGTTAGGGGTGGGGTACGGGGCCACACCTCCTTTTAAAAATTGTACATTTCTCATACCACTGAATTCGTACGAATTAGCCACTAACCTGACAAAACGTAAAGTACTTTGTTTTCCTCGTAAGATTAGACTGCTATTAAATTATTATTATTTTGTTGACATGGGCAATCCAAATTGTTGCATTTGAGCGTTTAATATTTGTAAATAAACAACAAAGCGGTAATTTCAGTTAACTAAAGTTCTAAATACTAATCAAAACGCAATTTCTATGAGTGTGATCATGCGTATGTTAGAGAAGTCTTGTTGCTATGGATACTGTCAATCAAATACGAGAGCGTCACATTTGATAATGCCACTACATTATTGTTATTCTTTTGTTGACATGGGCAATCCAAATAGTTGTTTTTGAGCTTGTGATGATATTTGTAAATGAACAACAAAGCGGTGATTTCAGAAATTATGCATCAGTTTTTAGACAAAGTTGTTTGCGCGTGAATGCTTTTACAATAAGCGAAAGTTCAATAAAGTTCTAATTCTAATTAAAACTCAATTTGTGAGTGTGATATTCATAAAATGAACAATGCGTTGATTTCAAAGATCATATCTAAGTTCGATAAGTTACGTTGCTGCCAAATATGAACGCTTTTTTTTTTTTGTTCGCAAGTGTCACATTTGATAATACTATTACATTGTTAGACTCCTTTTCTTTTGTTGACATGGGCAATCCTGAGCGTGTGATATTTGTAAATGAAAAACAGAGCCGTGATTTCAGGTCACTGAAATTCTAAATATTAATCAAAATGCAATTTTTGTGTGTGTGATATGCCCAACACAATCTTATGGCAATTAGTAGCTTTTTGATTTGGTTGCTACTTTGTATTAATTCGTACAATCTAATTCGTACAATTTATTTATTTATCTATTTATTTTTATTTATTTACTTATTATTATTTTCTTTATTGAATGCTTAAAAAACATTAACAATAAATCTCATGAATCAAACAACAACAATCCAGGGGTTTTCAGTCATTTAGTCCTTAATCAAAGTCCTTTTTCGTATTGCTTTTAAGTTTGTTGATCCCTCAATTCACTCAAAATACATTTTCATTTCAATTTTAAATTAAGTAAATAATTTAACTTAAACTTTAAACTTTATTTTAAATTAATTATTCGTACAATTTTAACCCAAGCTCATTCTGAAAATGTAGCCCTGCGGACGTTTCTGGAGACTGCGATTTACGTGGCCGGAGGTATGTATGGCTGCATTTAGTTTTTTCAAGCGAACGCTACAGGGTGGTGTGACGCCGCTCCTCTTCGCGCTCGCCAGCTGGGCTGATGGCTCACCTCCTTCGTGTGGAGGGCTTTCCCGATGCAACCAGTTTGTCTGGTTAGCTCGTCGTGCTACGTCGGCGAAACGGAGGCCCAGAGAAGGAGGAGCTGGCCGTGTTCGACGACTGGGTTCCAGTCTGGAGAAGAGCGGTTCCAGTAATCAGGTAAAGTGAACGAGTTCTTAACGGGGCGAGAATGCAATGAAATCCAAAAACGGGGTCAAAATCGGACGGCTTTTTTTCTGCACGGCTTTTGTAAATCGTTGCTTGGGTTTAGGGAAGAAGGAGAAGGTTGGCTGGGTCGGCCAATTGGCCGGCTGCTCTGTCAATCATTCAGTCATACAGCCAGTCGGTCAGTTGTACAGACGGTCACTCGACAGCAGCCTCCGGCGGCTTTTTACGCGAGAACAGTGCGGGCGCGAATGGCGCGCGTTCGAGACGCGAAAAAGTGCGCACAACAGCCTCTCGAAGATTCGCGAAAATAAAAACTGCACAAATACGTACCTCCCAGGACATATTTTGTGGTCTTGAGTAACGTCCGCGGGGCTATGTTTCTAGAATGAGCCTGAGTTGTACAATTTAGTACCATTTGCTCATCCCTTAATGACAGTTGGGTTTAGGGGTGGGGTTGGGTGCCATGCCTCCTTTTTAAAATCGTAAAATTTCTTACGACTGAACTCGTACAAATTCGTACAAATTAGCCACTAAACAAACAAAATGTAAAATACTCATATTTTCTCGTGAGATCAGGCTGGTGATATTAGTAAAAATAAGGTTATGCGTAGGTTGGAGAACTTTTGTTGCTGTGGTTCCTGTGAATCAAATAGGAATGCGATTTTTTTGTTGTTCGCGTCACATTAGATAATAATATGACATTTTTATTACTCTTTTCTTGACATGGGCAATCCAAATAGTTGTTTTTGAGCTTGTGATGATATTTGTAAATGAACAACAAAGCGGAAATTTCAGAAATTATGCATTGGTTTTTAGACAAAGTTATGTTTGTGCGTGAATGCTTTTACAATAAGCAGTGGTGTAAAGTAACCAACCCGGGCTCATTGTGGAAATGTAGCCCCGCAGACGTTTCTGCGGACCGCGATTTACATCCCGGGAGGTACGTATTCGAGCGGTTTTTGTTTTCGCGGATCCGCGAGAGGCCGCTGTGCGCGCTTTTTCGCATCTCGGGCTCGTCTCGGGAGCTCGCTGTTCGCGCCTGCGCCGTTCTCGCGCGAAAAGCTACCGGATCGGCCGACTTGGCCGCCCTCCTCTTCCTCCTCCTCCTTCCCTAAACCCGAGCGACGGTTCGCAAAAGCCGTCCAGAAAAAAAAAAAAAAAGCAAAAGCCCTCGTCTTCGATTTCGACCGCGTTTTCGGATCCCGCCGCATTCTCGCCCTTATTTTTCGGATTCCGTTTTTCGTCTTACCTGATTTCCGG